AATAATTTCTATCTCAACAGCTCTACTTTCAATTACCATAGAGCTGATTGGGAGCAATATCGAGCATTTATGGAATATAGCTTTGATCTAAATAAAGGGTGTCCACGATGAAATTGCCACACTATGAAATTGCTCTAACTTTTTAACCGTTGGGTAGAATTTAATGAAAATTTGGGTGGATTTAGTTCATAGTGCATTATTTACATCCTGCAAGTTTTAAAGTCCTGTGATCAAAACTCGCGGAAATGGAGTCGAAAGAACAGCTCGTGCGTGATAAAATCTTGCGCAGTCATCACGAGAACAAGGATCTCTCGCATCGTTCCATCGCTAAAACGTTGGGAATCGCGAATTCCACGGTGTCGCGAGTGATTAAGCGGTTCGAGGAACGGTTGACCACCGATCGGAAGCCCAGAAGTGAAGGAAAAAGTATTCCGTACAACACCAAAAATCACAACCGCGTAGTTGGGGCCTTCAACCGAAATCCGAACGCCTCCATTAGGGATGTGGCTAAGAAGCTGCACCTAAGCCGAAGTTTTGTCCAGAAGGCCAAAACTAAGGCTGGGCTTCGAACGTTCAAGGTACAAAAGGCCCCTAATCGCGACGAGAAGCAGAACAAGTCCGCCAAAACCCGTGCCAGGAAGTTGTACCTCAACATGCAGACGAAAGTTGAATGCTGCATCATGGACGACGAAACGTAAGTAAAGGCCAACTTCAAACAGATCCCCGGCAACCTGTTTTTCACGGCCAAGGATAAGTTCAGCGTTCCGGAGCATGTCCGCACACAGAAGATGTCCAAATTTGCGAAAAAATTCCTGGTTTGGCAAGCCATCTGCACGTGCGGGAAGCGGAGTGCACCTTTCGTGACCCAGGACACGATGAACGGACAGGTGTACATAAAAGAGTGCCTCCAGAAGTGGCTGCTTCCTCTCCTGAAGGCCCACAACGTCCCAACAATCTTCTGGCCGGATTTGGCCTCATGCCACTACTCCAAGGACGTGCTGAAGTGGTATGCGGACAATAAGGTCAATTTCGTGCCGAAAATGTTCAACCCTCCCAACACTCCGGAGCTCCGCCCCATCGAGAAGTACTGGGCGATTATGAAGCAGCACCTTCTTAAACGACCTAAGGTAGTGAAGACAGTCGAGGAACTGAAGAGAGTATGGGTTTACATGCAAAAAACGGTTGATTCACAGGTTGTGCAGAATCATATGGCCGGGGTTAAGGCCAAGGTGCGGGCATTTGCGTATGGACTGTAAATAAAATACGAGTAAAATGGTAAAATGAAGTTTAATAGTTATTTCTCAATCCCTGAAAATTTGATGGCAATCGGATGAAAACTCGAATTTTGCGAATCAATTTTGTGTGTGGCAATTTCATCGTGGACACCCTTTATTCCTTTGAAAACCAAAGATGAAATTAATGATGCTCTTGAATCTCTGACTACTTCTATAGTTGAAGCAAGAGCTGCCTCAGTACCAAAATGCGAGGTTATAATAGACGACGATCTTCAGCTCTTGATCCGTCTGAAAAATGTCCGTAGGAGGCAATATCAAAGAACACGAGATCCTGCCATGAAAGTTATCTGGCGGCATTTGCAAAAACAAATTAAAAAGCGATTCGCTGCTCTGAGGAACAAAACTTTTGAAAATAATGTTTCGAAATTAGACCAGAGCTCCAAACCCTTTTGGATACTAACACAATTTTTGAAGAAAAAAAACCTCAAAAGCCAATTCCAGCGCTTAAAGAAGATGGTAAAATTTTGATCACAAATTCGGAGAAACCTCAGAAACTTGCTAAGCAATTCGAGAGTTCCCATAATTTCAGTTTGGGTCTTACTAGTCCTATTGAGAATCAAGTTGCTCGGGATTATCTGAATATTTTTTCTCGGGAAAATATTTTTGATGATTCCTGGGGGACGAAGTAAGATCTATAACTAGAAAATTTTAAAATATGAAAGCTCCAGGTGATGATGGAATTTTTTATATCCTCATCAAAAATCTCCCAGAGAGTACCTTGTCTTTCTTGGTAAAATTATTTAACAGATGTTTTCATTTGGCATACTTTCCTGTAGTTGAAGACACTAAGCGTCAAATAACAGATTTAAAGTGGTAATTGTATACGATAGATGGAGGAGATGTAAGTATAGAGTTAATAGTTTTGTTAGAGTACGGTAGTGTGAAAACTTTATATAGAGAGCAGAAAGCAAGGGGCAAGACAGCTTTTGATCATGAGTAAAATCGGAGTTAATGTTGAGTAACTCTGACCCGCTCTGAGTAATTCGCGTTGATCAACATCAAATAAACAAAGCAATCTGATTTTTGAGTTGCAATATGTCATCATCGGTGGGTTGAAACCGATTGACATATTTTTGTGCAATAATTTCGTACGCAACTGAAAACTGGTGCTGAAGTTCTTGCGGATGAGATACTAGTGATGCTGGACTTGCTGAATTGTATAATTCTGTCCGGTGTTACAGAATTCACGGATTGTAACGATGATTCAAGACGACCACCAGGCTTGGGTTAACGGATACCATCACCGATCGGATGGATATATTTGCAGAAAAAATTGTAGCTGTTTTGAGATTGCGGCTTGTGGCACCGTTTGATTCTCCCAGTATTTAGCATTTTTCTAAATTTCCATGAGTAGCATGATGACATCCACCAACAAGGCTGTCCAGCTATTGAAAATGAAATTGTCTGAAACTAGGAAGGGAAAGTTTAACACTGAGCTCTTCTGGAATTTTCCGGAATTCCTTGTCCTTGCCAACATCGTCAGCTCATAAACTGCTATTCATCGCATCATTTTTCATTTGGCTTTCTCCCTTTGACAAAAAGTAGCACCCACAAGTACTAGGAACATCGGCACGAAGCTTATATGCAGGAGGAACAGAAACGTCATGATGTCATTAAGAAGGTCTTAGATTGTCCCCAACTGCTAAAAATCGAATATCTCCGGGTACAATATGAGCAAGGCCTCGGTGCAATAAATCTATGAGCTTTCATCATCAACACAAATAGAATCTTATTCAGACTGCTTAAGTTGGAAACAATGGTGTTGCGAATATCACTCAGAAAAACTACGACCATGGCCCCTATTACCGATGTCACTTCACGGGGAAGTGACAACTTATCACTCACGTTAAGTGATTACCATTTGATTTACACGGCCATCACTTCACAACAGCAGTCCCCGAGGAGAATCAAAACTCTCTGTCTGAGCGATCACTTCAAGTTCCAGGTGTTCAAAAGGCTACTATCGATGAGATGTTTGTCACTTTCAAACTACTGCCAACCAACAATCCGTCGCGTCCGCCTATGTTGCTAAATCTAACAATTTTTTTAGTTGGAGTATTTTATAAAATTAAAAACACAATTGGGATAATATTTTTTTGAATCTAAGTGTTTGTTTATATAGTACAACAATGCAAACCATATCATACGTATTCTACCATTTCTAGCACAAGATTACACTTCCTTCCAATATCCTTTCGACGGCTTCTCGCCAACTCATTCTTGATGGCTTCCTCGGTCTTGTTCTTCCGATGGTCGCGACTAATTTTGGAACACCACTGATCATTTTTACGATCAAATAGCATTCCTTCCCAATTATTACTTTCTAGATATAAGGAACTTTCTCACCGCATACGTCTTCCTGTCGCATCAATGGTGGTAACCAGCCGTTTGATATAAGATTTCAGTAGATATCGTATGGTTTATACGCTCTGATTATGCATCCAGACAGAAACTAATACACCAGCTGAGGTTCACAAGTCGAGGGTAGATTACTCCGTCATCGCCTATAAAAAAATGCTTTAGCTACGATAAATCCTGTGTTTTCATAAGAATCAAATTCCTGTTCACGATATCTTGACGACTAATGCGGATTGATGTCACATAGCACCGATCAATCTGTTATCAGATATGAGCCATCCTGCACGTGATCTCATACAATTTTATCGGTTACTAAATTTAACCAATGCATGATTTAACTCAAATAAATAAAATCTCGAGTAAGTAGATGACGTCTGTTTCGACTTTTCATTGAAGGTTTGTATATGCTGAACAAAACGAGACTACTTTGATCAGTTTTGAGTAATTATGAGTTGCTCAAATCTACTCGCTGCGAAACTATTTGCTCTGAGTACAGCTGACTTGCCCCTTGGTAGAAAGCGAGCAAAGACAACTTTGAGGAAGGGACGAATCGGGTTGACCATCTCTCTTTCCCAAACTCCCCAGTTGGAGAGGGATGGTGAGCGGTATCCCCTTTGATTTGTGTGGTTGACTTGTAGTTTGCATGAAATTTACGATGGCATACAAAATGTCGTTCAAATATAGATTTTCGTACTCTACCAGCTAATTTTCTCGAAAATTTTCAGGAGAGCTTTTCCAGTTTTCCCGAACATCGCAAACTTTGAAAAATCTTAACTCAATAACCTTTCGCAGAAATTACATTTAATAGTGAAATGTTATGGAAAGTGTCTCAGCAATCCGTCAAAAATATAATCTGAAGAAACGATGAAATTGAAAGAATAAGAGAGGTAATTAAATTGTGCCTATCCTTTCGTATGGAGTTGTTCAACATCAGTGGGCCAAAGATTCTCGTGACCACTTTTCCTTTTTTTTCACATTCAATGAGCCTACGAATTAAAAAACCATTAAACAATTGGAAAGACACATGTTGGATAATTTAAAACTCATGTACTAAGCATGTTATAGCATGTGAACCACTTCCTACTCGTCACAACTGGTAGTCAACAGTCGAAACAACAGCTGTTCTTGTTCGCTACAACGATTCAATGAAAAATTGTTTCTAATCGACCGGTCACGACCACTTGGCTTCAAAGCACGAAGATACCGATTTGTTATCTACAAGGTCGATACGCAGCAAACTTTGCTCACTATCGGTTCACAGACCCATCCTTTGAAATGCGTTAAAGTAGTCGCTATTCCGCGAGTCGCATCAACACTCAAATCCGAAACCAATCCAACTTCGACACTATTGAATAAAGCCCGCCTTCAGCAAGCAAACAAGTGCATAATCCGATCAATCAACCATCGTCCAGTACACATCTCCCCTTGGTGCCGAGTGACTTCAACGACCGATCGGAAAAACGACGAACCCACACTGCGTCCACCGATATGCACTAAGAACCACGTCGCGTGAACCATACACCAAATTAGTTGCAGCAGTTAGGTGCCATTAGCCTATGCTTTCCATGAAACCACGAGGCGGTGGTTTATGCTCACGACGATGATGGGCAGGAGGAGGTTCGGGTCTCGCTCACGCCGATGACTTCGAATCGCCCATGCGGTTACATGATTTAGAAAATGATTTTCGCTATTGTTTTCAGTTGATGAAAAACGCTCGCTCGAAACGGTTTGCAATCGCGGAGATCTCTCATATCTAACTTTGCTGAAAGCCAACGCAGAAGTTTGGCCTCAACAGGAGGAAGCATTATTTGTGAAGCCACAATGAATCACGAAAAGTGAAAAGGGTGCGCACGGTGTGGAAGGAATCGAATTGTGAATTAATTGCAGTGAAGAACACAATCAAGCAGGATACAAGTGGAAATTGATTCCAATTCTATGCAATATGCAGTGATATGAGGAAAAATGGTGTGAAAGGATAATCGCCAGTGAATCACAGTCAGTTTTAGTTGTAAGCAACAGAAAAACAGAAAATCAAACAAACACTGAAGAAAGTTTAAATGTTTTGTGATTTGCTGGATTTCATTTTCACATCCAAGCTGTCCGTCAAATCCAAGGAAGATCAGCATAAACAGAAACAGCTGCACCAGCAGCAGCACGAGGAAGGAAAGGAAGAACAGAACGTATCCCATCACTGTCAGCAGCCAATCACGAATCGTCATGGATTACATCGGATATACAATGAACACTTGTTTAATTCTTTTCATGGTAAGCTGACCGTAGGAATAAATCCGGCGTGCCAAGTGCGAAATCTGGAGAAACCAGCAAAGCAACATGAATGCTCGAAGAAGGGCGATGGTTTGCTTTGGATATGCTAATTGACCAACATGAGCAGTAGCAACAATGGATTGGTTTTTACACACAGACAAAAAAATACGAACTGTGACAAAGATTATGTCCGTTGAAAATGTTGAAATGCTTGTTGGTAAATCTTTCAAAGGGTTATGTTTGCGAAATACCAAACGGTAGTGGTTGACTGTACTGAGTTTCAAGAAGTGTCCAATTTCTCCACTAGCCTAACCTGGTGGTGGAAGTTAACCCTCTACTGACCAAATTATGGTTTTGGTCCTTGAGATAATTTTGATCTAGATCAATTTAGCTTTTCTAGAGCAGTATCTAAAAAAACAATTGCTTATATTTTCTCACGAACGATTGCACGATTTTCAACCAAACTTGGCCAGCTGAAACTAGATTTCAAGAGCAAAGTGTGGTATAAAATAATTTCGTATTGAAATTCAGAGCATTTTTTTAAATGCAAAATCACAATGTGAAGAAGTCAAAAATAAATAGCCGAATAGTCGGAAAGATTTAATTAAACTGTTTTGGTAGAGGCTTCCTGCCAAAACAACAATTCTTCAAGAAATTTAAACATACCCAAATTTTTAGATTTTGCTGAAGTTTTCAGTGCTTCCCTGAAGTAATTGGAGCTACCCTAAAGATCTCTTAACTTTAATAATATTCTTTGAACAGTCCTGAATTTCTCAGAACTTTTTTAAAATTGCCTCACCTTGAAATTCAATGATCTATCCTGAGCTTTCACAATTTTCCGATTTTTTATTAACTTCCTTGAAGCTCATAGAACCTCCTGTAAAATCTTTAAACTTCCCCAATGTTCCCTAAATTTTCAAGAAGTTCTTGGAAAATTTAGGGAACATTGGATCACAAATCTTTCATTCATGGAACTTCCCTGACGACCCGCAAATTTCTCGAAATTTTCGGAATATTGATTTCACGAAACTTCTTGAGAGTTCCTGCAATTAATTAATGGAATTGCTCTGTTGTTCTCTCTGATATTTCACGAAATACTAGGAAAATAATGAAACTGCTTTAAAATCCTTAAACAGCTCAGAACATTGCTAAAGCTTTCAAATCTAAAATTCCCAGAGCTTCTGAAAAGTTCCTTCAATTTTCTTGAAGTTAATTGAACTGCCCTGAGGTTCACTTATCTTTCCTGATGTTCTCGAAACTACCCCCACAGTTCTCACAAGTCTCCTGAAGTTGTTGGTACTACCCTGAAATTAATTGAACTGTCCAAACACCTGTCTGAGATAATCCAGCGTTCCTAAAATACTTGGAACTTCTTGAAGTTTCTCAAAATTCTGCTAACTATCAAAACTAGCCTTCACAGATCGTTTAACGTGTCCGAAAGCGACTGCCCTTACTATATCTGAGCCTCCCTAAAGATCTCTAGATCTAGTTTCTCAGAGCCTTTAACTTTCCAATAAAAAAAGATAGCAATTTGGATGCTTCGGCAAAAATATTTGTCATTGAAAGTTCTTAAAGTCTAGATAGAGCTGGAATTAGGGCGTAACAGCTTTTGTAAACAATAACTTCTATCGATGATTTCTAGGAATTCAAGGCACGTCCACGCAGACCAACCTAACCATCGGATAGAAGAAGTCTTTCCCTACCCGATGAGGATGTTGGTTTGCGTCTGGCAAGCCTAAAATTTCTAGAAATTATCAAGAGAAGTCATTATTTACAAAAGCTGTTAGGCCCTGATTCCAGCTCTATCTAGAAGTGTCTAGAACATCGTTTTTACTAGAAATGAACGTATGAAAAGATATTCATAGAAAACCAATTTAGAGGCCACCCTAACCTGCGTGTTTAAAAAAAAAATCATAACTTATGAACCATAAGAGATGGAAATTTGGTGTCTCCCTCAAAGTTGCTGCAAATTGATTGTTCTGCAACTTTCTAGAACATTGCATTGGTCTATCTCAAACAATAAAAAAAAGTTCGCATTTTCAATTCACCAATTTTATGGACCACCCTAATTTCACTAACATGAAAAGATTGGCCAAAAAATATGGAGAAAATTGACACCATATGCCTAAAACCAACGGTTTTAGCGCAAACATTTTTGTATTCCTAAATACGGCATTGGGACCATTGTGCAGTGTGTTCAAGAAACAAGAGTTTTCACAATTTTTGTGGACTGCTCCTTAAGTTTCTGGAACATCCCTGAAGTTTTCACTACGGGCGGGGTGGATCTGATAGATTCAAGCTCTCTTTAACTACATCGCTACTCTTCTGTTGATGTTCCTGGAGTTGCCCTGGAATTGATAAAATTGCTGAAGCGACTCCGGTGGTGTAGTGGTGAGCGTGATTATCTCTCACCCCAGCAGGCCTTGGTTCAATCCCTGTCGGCGCCGCTGGGATGTTCTGAGGCATAACATCTCTTATCACGCCTTCCTTCGGGAAGTAAAGCCGTTGGTCCTCGGTTCATGAGTTGATGGGTCGATAGGTAGGGTTCAGGTGTGGGAGCTGCCTTCCTGGCACGTCGGTAGCATTGGTGCTCAGCACGGAAAACAAGATCGACGGAAAAAAAAAACAAACCAAAGGAAAAAAAAAATACACATTTCTTTATGACCAAGTTTTCAATGTTTCTGTCGTCGTGACAGCCTTTACAAACCGACGACATCCCTCAGCTTACCCAAGTGGCTGTCTCGAAAAGGCTGTCACGAGACATTATAATCAATTGATATACGGCAGTGGAGTATGGAAGAAACCCAGAAGAATGATCCCGAACAGACATGTCGGATCAATGTAAGGTCAAATTATGATCGACGTCGGCCGAATATCGGTTCAATGTCGGGTCAATTCTGTGTTTATGTCGGGGCAATGTCGGGCCAACATCGGGTTGGGGTTTGGTAGAAGTCAGGTTGGTGTCGGGTAGGCTTATATTTTTCGCTGGAATGTCGGAATGTCTGATCTGCTCATGACTGAGTGAATTGCAATCTTTACTTTTCTCAAATTCGTGAATTTTTCCCTGGAAAATCCTGAAAAACCTGGAAAAACATGAGGCAAATTTACTCATTGCTGAGTTCCTGCACTTTATTTCTTATTTCTGAGATAACTAAACTCAAATTTGGGTCGATCTCATTCGCCGTGATATCACTTTGAAAGATATCGGCGCCGGTGGTTAGCGTGATTACCTCTCACCCCAGCAGGCCTGGGTCCAATCTCAGTCGGCGCCACCGGCATGTTCTAAGGCATAACATTTCTGATCACGCCTTCCTTCGGAAGGGAAGTAAAGCCGTTGGTCCCCGGTTGAGTTGATGGGTCGATAGGTAGGGTCCAGGTGTGGGAGCTGCCTCCCTGGCGTCGGAAACATTGGTGCTCAGCACGGAAAACAGGATCGACGGAAAAAAAAGACAAAATTGCTCTAAAGATTTCTAAACTTCCCGACCTCTTCTACATTTCCGTGGATTTATTTGAACTTCTATGAAATTTCTGACATTTTTATTAATGTGACTTTTTTTTTAATTTTTGAAACTTTTTAGAACTTCTTACTATTTTTATTAATTGAATTGGAACTGTCCTTAAGAACTTGTAATTCATTAGAAATTCTCGGAAATTTTCCTGATAATCATAAGGTTCTGGAAATTTTCCTGAATGGAACTGCCATGAAGCCATCTTTGACCTTCACTAAAGTTCTAGAAGATTTCCTGAAATCTTTGGAACTACCCTGAAGTTTTCGGAAGTTCCTTTACGTTCTTGGTTTTTTTTAATGAAATCATCAAAACATCTATAAATGTCCGCCATCTTTCTGATGTTAATGGAACTAACATACAGTTGTAAAAATTTTCGAAAAGTTCTTGGAACTTCATTAAAGTTCCTGATTTTTTTCTGCCGGAAGGAGAAAAAAACCGTAGAACTCTAGGATCAATTTCGAGGATTGGCCATTTTTAAAGATGTTCTAGGTCTTGCGGAGGACGGTCCCATGGCCTTCTAGGAACATATTTATGTCACGATCGCAAATTAATGTATATATGACAGTTCCAAGTGTTTTCGAAAAAACCGTAGAGCTCTAGGATCAGTTCCATACATTGACCACTTTTACGGATTTTTCGGATCTTCCGGAGGACGGTCCGATGGCCATCTGGGTCCATGTTTATGTCACGATCCCAAAGTCATTCTAATATCACAGTTCCTAACGTTTTCGATTAAACCACGGAGCTTTAGGATCAGTTTCGTGAATTTTCCACTTTTTCGGATGTTCCGGATCTTCCCTAGGACAGTCCCATGGATATCCAGGTTCATGTTTATGTCACAACCCCAAATTCTTTCTATCATCACAGTTCCTAATGTTTAAAAAAAACGTGGAGCTCTACACACCAAAAAATTCTGAATTTTACTGGCGATGTAAACATCCATGCATACAAACATTCATACATGTAAACTTCCTTTTCACGTAAACTAAAGGGTGATACGGTCAAAATTTGGTCAATATCAACTTGACGTATTTCTTTCAATTTTGCATTTAAAAAACCTGAACACCCCTCATTTTGAAGGTGTGTGTGTGTAGAATGTTGCTCCTATTTTGATTTTGGAATTCACTCTTCAGTTGTCAAAATGCCGTCCAAGCAAGAAGAGCAGCGTATCAAAATTTTGCTCGCACATCGCGAAAATCCGAGCTACTCGCACGCAAAGTTGGCAAAATCGCTAAAAGTTGCCAAATCAACCGTTACAAATGTAATTAAAGTGTTTGGGTAACGTTTGTCGACAGCCAGGAAGTCTGGATCGGGGGGAAATCGAAAACCGGAAGCCGCTGAGACGACAAAGAGAGTTGCCGGTAGTTTCAAGCGAAACCCTAACCTCTCTCTCCGAGATGCCGCAAATAAGCTGGGTGTATCGTCTACAACCGTGCATCGAGCCAAAAAACGAGCCGGACTATCGACTTACAAGAAGGTAGTGACTCCAAA